ATTGCCTCTAGCACAAGCTTTCATGAGTCAGAAATATATATATATAGCCAGCTGTGGTGTAGTGGTAAAGAGTGGTGGACTCTGATCCGGAGAACCAGGTTTGATTCCCCACTTCTCCACATGCAGCCAGCTGGGTGACTTTGGGTCAGTCACAGCTCTCTCAGAGCTGTTCCTCTCAAGAGCAGCTCTCTCAGAGTTCCCTCGGCCCCACCTACCTCACAGGGCGTCTGTTGTGGGGAGAGGATGGGAAGGTGATTGTAAGCAGCTCTGAGACTCCTTTGAGTAGTGAAGAGTAGGGTATAAAACCAACACACACCTTCTTTTTTTACAGTGCCACTGGAGTAAAACCTGTAGTAGACAGCATGGCATAGGGGCCAAATGATCACCCAGCTAAATTCTGTCCAGAAAGGAGGTTGGGGGTGAGAATCAGTGGTGCACCTCTATTTTATAAAATAAACTTGGCTTGGTAAACTGCCCCAGACGTTCTCGGTAATGCTTATGGATGGGTATGAGCTCCCACATTTCTCCTGATCATCTTTTGAAGAATGATCCACCAGCAAGATCCAAGCAAGGGAGAAAGAAATAGTTCTACCTTGCCAGAACCTGGAGATCTACCAGGGTCCAGTCGAGACTTGCAAGCCCATTACCATGCCATTTCAAATGTATACCACTGCTGATATGAAATAGAAATTCAGATTTCATGATTCCTGAGACTGTACATGGCAGGGCCCATGCATGGTACAAATTTATAGCAGGGCTGCAGAAACGATGCTTGGGGCCCTGCATACCAGCTGAAGGTCACATCCCGTATTACAACAACAAGACAACTGTGTTCATACTACAGCATGGCTAAAAAAAAATCCTAATATCAGAAGGGAAATTGGGGGGGGGGGCTTCTGTTTCAAAGAAACAAAAAGAAGTCTTCATATGACAAACTTCTGGAAAGAAATTGCTGCTGTTCTACAATTCAGAACCAACACTGTGACAGGTACTATACAAAACAGAGATATTTACAAACTAGAAGACAAAGCTGGGGGAGAAGAAAAAAGGGACTGAAAGATAATGGGGATGGGGATGGGGTGATGGTGCGGAGGGGATGCTAAGGAGATTCAGGAGTGGGCTCAGCTATTCAAGAAGACACGGGGTGTTCCATGAATACTCCAGCAGCATTTTTTCCTTTAAAAATCAGGCCGGGGAGACATGATTGTTATTAGAACTATGGCATGAACAGGGAATAAGCTTTTCCTAAGGATCATCTGCTTGATCTGAAATGATCCCGGAGAACCTTTGCTTGCCCCACTGGAGAAAACATAACAGGTACTGAAAAGAGACGTGCAGAGAATGGAATGGAAAACCAGGGATGCTACCTTGGGCTCCTTGAAGGGTAAGACAAAATGAAATATCAGTAATCTCATAAGTCCCACTCCAGTTAAGTTTTCCTCCTAAAATAATTCCCCTCCCCTTCTTCTTTGGTTTTTAATCTACGAGGGAAAAGACCCAGCTATCGGTCTCTTTTCCCCATCAGGACAAAAGCAGCTTTGGGGAGCATGATTTTAATGAGGGGGAAGAGTTAAAGGAGAAAGGATTTAAGAACCCCCCTCCCAAGCCTCCCTGCCATGGGTCTTCTGCTCCAAACTACAGCTTCCATGTCCGTATTTTGTAAATCACGAAAACATCAAAGGCTGTTGGTGCTTGTTGCATGTATTTTGCAGCTCCTCCCCCCTCATGGATGGAGAAATCAAGGATGGGATAAGGAAAGATGAAAAATGATCAGTACAGAGGATGCAGAGGGATAGAGATTATCCAAGGAGGAGCCAGAAGCTTGAAGCTGACATAGAAAGTGACAAGGAGCAAATATGTATTTTATGGAGAGGCAGCAAATACTCCACAGTAGAGTTTTGTTCCAGCACCTGTCTTCAAAGGGAGGGGGCTGTCCATGGGGTAGTTTCTGAACTGATTGTAAAGTAAAGAAACATTTTAAAAAAGAAAGTTAGCATGGAGGACGTTAGTAGAGACAAGAAGTTTGTCTCTCAGAAACAGAAATATCAACCTTCTCAAGTTTTAATGTCTCACAAATAGTAGAATTACATACAATGTGTCAATCCCTGATCATTTCAAAAGACTTTTTCCCCTTTGTCTGCAATGTCTGGGGGAAAATAAGGGAAGGGAAAAAGAGTTTTTAACTTATCTTGTTTGTATCATTTTCCTGCCCAAAAAATTTCCTTTTACACTATTTTTTAAACTTGGGGATGTGGGGAATAACAGGCACTACATTCACACAAGAACACACACAAGTTCCCCCTGAAAATTGCAGCCCTAATAGCTACAATCTGTATTCTTAGAAAAGTATTTTAAATTATCACACAGGTATTTTTTTGCACATGAAACTTCTATAGGTTTGGGCGTAAACTGGTCTGTAAAAATGAAATCAGCACAGACTACCATGTCTGTTTGATTCCTGTTCCCCAGTCAATCCGCAGTCCAATGTGCCAAATTCTGTGGGTTGCAAGCAGTTTACATAATACAGAAAGGGGCAGAACCCTCCCTCCTCTCCCTATGTCAATCTTTTACTCAAAAAGATGTCAATCTTTTACTCAAAAAGGCAGAATACTGAGTTTCTTCAGAAGCTGCTTGAAGAACGATATTCCAGTTCTCCCTCCATCCTTGCAACACCTCATTAGACTCTCGGGCAGGAATGGGCCAAAGCAGTCCTTGCAATTTGCCACTGGCTTAAGCAGAGGTGCATTTGCTCCCTCGAAGAAGCAGTTTCAGGTAAATTTGCTGCCACTGGAAGGAGCCAGGGATGCTGCATTTGTGTACAAGCTCATCTCACACATTATTCTGACATGGAAAGATTAAGAACAGAGATTGACAGCTGCTGTAGATTCCCTTCCTCAACTGCAGAAAGGAATAAACAACTGCCTCTTCTCAATTTCGGACACCTTAAGACACAAGTGTCTGGAGCTTTATCTCCCAGAAAGGATAAATTATTTGAGAGCAACATCTAAAACAGTAAGCAACACCATCACCAGCACTGAGTGTTTGGTGTAGTGGTTAAGTGTGCGGACTCTAATCTGGAAGAACTGGGTTTGATTCCCCACTCCTCCACTTGCAGCTGCTGGATGACCTTGGGCAAGCCATAGTTTTGATAAGAGCTGTCCTTGAAAAAGAGCAGTTTCTGTCAAGAGTTCTCTCAGCCCAAACCCACCTCACAGGGTGTCTGTTGTGGGGAGGGGAAGGGAAAGGAGTTTGTAAGCCGCTCTGAGACACCTTTGGGTAGTGAAGGGCGGGGTATAAATCCAATCTCTTCTCTTCTCTTCTTCTTCTGAGTTCATGCCCTCTAACACTCAAAGCTGAGCGCAGTCCAATGTGCCAAATTCTGTGGGTTGCAAGCAGTTTACGTAATACAGAAAGGGGCAGAACCCTCCCTCCTCTCCCTATGTCAATCTTTTACTCAAAAAGGCAGAATACTGAGTTTCTTCAGAAGCTGCTTGAAGAACGAGATTCCAGTTCTCCCTCCATCCTTGCAAATGTACATTTGGAAACCCATAGCTCTGGGGAGAGGGAAATTTGAAGCAGGGAAGGGGCACATGGGGAAAGGTTAAGGAACAGACTCACCCAGCACCACTTTTCTACTCTGAATGCCCTTGCCTCCCCTAAGCGATGTATTTATTTTAAAAAAATGATATTGGAGTTTGCTGACACTTGTCTGTGTATCCTGAATCACTGTTCCCTCAGTTCTGCCTTTTGCCTCTTCCATTTTTGCCCCACTAGGGTTTTTGTTTTGTATTCTGATTTGTAGATTCTTTTGATCTTCCCAAAGCAATACAGGAACTGGGAGCCCAAAAAGTAGCTAAACAGTTGGAAGAATCAATAATCAAGATCACAGCAGGAAGAAATTGCCCCATTTAAATCAACTGGGCCTTACCTAACTTGCTTCGGCTTTACTCTTTTCCTCTTGTATCATTACTTACGTCCCCTGCGCCTCCTTACCCCAATCTTGGCTGTCTTATGTAGACTGAAAACTCTCTATGTAGGGACCAGATCTCTTTTCTGTACAGCTTCTTCTACTGTACAGCTGCTCTCCCAGATAGTTGCTTAAATCACAGGCACTGCAAGTAGCACATTTGGGATTCACTTGCCACTCCCTTGCCACAAGACAGGCTGATCCAGTGGCAGCATCTCCATCAGTAATGAGAAGGATTTAGGACTGGAAGACCTAAACTTTTGGAAACTATTTTCAGAAGTCAACATGCTGAGCATTCCTGAAAATGGGGCATCTTGTTGAAGTTGTAGAGAAACAAAAATACAAAGCCCAAATCCTATGTATGTAAACTGCAGATCAAGAAAAAAAGGAGAGGGGAAAAATAACTGGCTGGGAGAGAAAGCATGATTCTGTCAACTGGCACAGAACAGGAATAGACTTTGGGAACTGGTAAGGCTGTTAAAGCCATCACGGCCCCAGGATGGAACTCCCCTTCCAGTCTCCTTTTATACCAGGTACTGATGGATGACAGTCACAGAAAACAGTGGGATAGATCCAGCCAGCTTTTCCACTCAATCCCACCCAAGTCCCCTCCATATTCCAGCCTCCATCCCACAAAGCTCTGGTACATGGAGGTCTCATGATTCTTTTGGGTGGACAGTGAGGATGACAGTGCCATGTAGTGGTTAGAGAGATGGACTAGGATCTGGAAGACCCAGGTTCAAATCCCCACCCTGCCCTAGAAGCTTGCTAGGTGACCGTGAGGATATACTGGCGGAGAGGAGAATGATGTAAGGTGCTTTGGCTCCCCACTGGGGAGAAAGGTGAGATATAAATGAAGGAAGCAAGCAAGGAAGCAAGCAAGCAAATAAATAAATAAATAAATAGAATGCCTCCTTCCTTTTTCATCAGCAGAAAAGCGGGCTTGATCAAACCCAGTATCTGAAGCCTCTCCAAATACTCATCTACCCCATTAGCCAATTCTCCCTGTAACAGCCCCTCTCTGCCAAAGCACCTACTCTTCCAGCTGTGGGCACAATGTGGTCTGGGTGCCTTGCAGTTGGGCTTCCCCAAGAGGCCGCTGTGAGCAGAGGTGCCCATTGCCCAGAGGGTACAAAAGGCTGGTTTCTGCAGTTCTACTGCTGGAGCGGCTGCTGTTGCTGCTGGAGCCCCCGTCCTCCTCTTCCTCCTCTCCAGCCCCGGCTGGGGGCTTGCTCTCCTTCTCCAACAGCACCCGGGGGCTGAAGGCGCAGGGGCACCTGCTCAGGTCCTTGGAGATGGCATGGAGGCGGTGATCAGCGCTGCGAAGGCAACACAGGAGTTTCTTGAAGGCGCACCTGAAGTCAGGGCTGCGGCAGTAGATGATCGGGTTGAAGGCCGAGTTGACATACCCAAGCCAGTTGAAGAAGAGGAAGAGCTGGTCCGGGACGAGGGGCCTGGCAAATACCTTGATGATGTTGGCCACGAAGAAGGGCAGCCAGCAGAGGGTGAAGATGCCCATAATGATGCCCAAGGTCTTGAGGGCTTTGTGCTCCTTGATAGCCAGCAGCAGCCGGGAGGGTCTTCTCCGTCGAGAGCCTTTGGTGGCGTCTTGGACAAACCTGCCCTTGTCCTTCTCGATGAGCTCAAGCTGCCGGGTGGCCACTGCGAAAACCCGCGCGTAGACAAAGATCATGACCAAGAGGGGCACGTAGAAGGAGATGATGGAGGAGAGAATGGCGTAGGGCATGTTGGTGACGAAGTCACAGCAGTGGGGGTCCTCGTAACAGCGCAAGGCCTCCTCGTCCGCCCCGTCGCGCCACCAGTGGTTCATGATGGGCAGGAAGGAGATGAAAGTGGAGATGGCCCACACCAGGCAGACCACGCTTCGGGCCCGGCCCTTGGTGACCAAGGCCTCGTATTGGAGAGGCGCCGTGATGGCCAAGTAGCGGTCCACGGCAATGGCGCACAAGGTCTCGATGCTGGCCGTGACGCACAGCACGTCCAGGGAGGTCCACAACTCGCACACGACGGTGCCGTAGGGCCAGTGGCCGCTCATGACCAGCGTGGCCCCTGGGGGCACCACCAGCATGCCCATGATGAGGTCGGCGCAAGCCAGCGAGGTGATGAAGACGTTGGTCATGGTCTGCAGGCGCGGCGTCTTGGCGATGGCCACGATCACCAGCAGGTTGCCCCCCACCGTCGCCAGCACGGCCAGGCTGAAAGCCGCCCCCAGCGCCCACTGCGCGCTCAGGCTCCCGTTGCCCGACGCCGCTGGATGAGATCCCCACAACGTCCCGTTGGGCGGCCACGGAGGAGCCATCGCAGCCCGGGCGGGAGGGGAGGCCACCGACTTCGACGCGCCTCTCTCTCTCTCTCGCAGTCGCCCCCTCGACGGCTTCAGGCCGAAGGGCCGGCGGCTCCTCCCCGTAAGGCAGGCGCTGCCAGCGCGGGCTCCATGTGCGGCGGACGCCCAGCCACTTCTGGCTCGTCAGCCCGGCCCATGCTCCTGGAAAGACTGGAGACGCTTCGCAGGGGCGGCTGCCCTCCCCTTCGGTGGGCATCGCGGAGAGGAGGAGCCCTTAAAGGCGCAGGGAGCCCGAGCCAGGAGGGAGGCGGCACACGCCCCGGGCATCGCCCTCTCGGATCCCCGCCCTTCTGAGGAACAGACGGGGCTGGAGAGGGAGGTCGCGCCGTCGAGCTGGGCTCCCTGTACACCCTCCTCCCGTAGAGCGCATTCCCAACCCACTTTGCGCCGCCTCCTCTCTCCAGTCTTGCAAATTCACTCCTGTAGAATTCTTCCCAGTTGATTTCCCCACCGCGATCTTGGGAAGTGACTACCTTGCAGGGTTGATCTAAGACTTCCTAATAGGTGGAAGCCCCTTAAGGAGCCTATACATTGCGCTACAAAATCGCACTGAAAGCTTCCACTGAGACCTACATGTCCCCTCTGCAAGCAGAAAACTGGCAGAGCAGGGAAGTTCTTCTGCGAAGAGCTTTCCTTTTAATTTATAGTGCAATGTAGAGGCTGCTGAAGGTGTTCTGCATACATTATCTTGTTGTGATGCTTACAGTAACCCTGTAAGGTTGGCCATTGTTATTATTTTGTAGTGGGGGGGGCATAGGCTGATTCGCTTATCTAGGGAGGCTGAGAGGTTGCATAAGGTCACCTGCCCTGCTTGTGGTACAGACAAAACTAGAACTGGCGATTTCCTCACCACTCTCCTGCAATGACAGCTTTCCTGTTGCGCTTCCTGTTACTTTTAAGCTGTTTTTGAGACTCTTGCCTTCCAGCTTCAAAAGGTTTTTTCCCCTCCCTATCATGCCCTTAATAAAATTATTTAAGTGAAGAGGAGAAGAACTTTTTCTCCCTCTTCCCAAAGAGGGACTCTAGGGCAAAGTTTGCTTACTTCATCCACACCCCACTTTTCTTCCTTATGGGAATCTCAGGTGGCTTAGTACATTCTCTCCTCCAGCATTTTATCCTCACAACAGCCCTGTGGGGTAGGGTTGAGTGAGATGCCTGAACTTCCATGGCAGAGTGAGGATTTGAACCTGGGTCTCCGAGATCCTACACTAACACTTAAACCACTACACTCTAGATTATTCAAGACATATTCAAGACACATTATTCATCACATAGGCGCTGCAGTGGCTCAAGTGGTTAAGACGATGAACTGCAGGCTGTGGAAGGTCAGTAGTTCAGCAGTTCAAGACCCAGGTTGCCGCATGACGGAGTGAGCTCCCGTCTCTGGTTCCAGCTCCTGCCAACCTAGCAGTTCGAAAGCAAGACATTGCAAGTAGATAAATAGGTACCACTTTGGTGGGAAGGTAACAGCGTTCATCATTATCTATTAAGTATTCTTCTGAATATCAGTTACAAGGGGGAAGGGGGGTCATCAACAGTGCCAGGCTTTGGGCGTTTCGGGCATCTGGCTGGATCTGTCTGATCCAGCAGGACTCTTCTTATGTTGCTCCTAGGTAATCTTCCCTTGGATGGATGTTGTACTGTTATAGCAAAACGAGGTGGTAGAATACTAAGGTTGAGAATAGAATGCACTATGTCAATCAGCATGCGTGACATTATTTTGGGATGTTTTTTGTCAATCCCCGTAAGCAGAAAACTAGCAGAGCAGATCAATTCTAGCAAGGCCTCTTTCTCCCTGTTCTGCTAGATTTCTTGTATCAGGGAAGAGTCTCTCTCTCTCTTTTAATCTGAGGAACCGTGTAAAAATTGCACCCTGACCTCCAGCCTGAAGTGGTGCAGCCCACTCTGATATCACAGGACTCTGCTCCATGAATTCTACTCCATGTAGATTCAGGTGGGTGGGTAGCCATGTTGGTCGGAAGGAAGAGTTCACTCAGTTCTCACATCTGATTGCTAACTCTTTTTCAAACTTCGTTCTTCTACTGCATGAGTCAATCATGCTTGAGATGTCTCAAGGGGGGGGACAGACTGGTGAAACAGGCTGTTATCCTGAACATTCTCCTTCTTCTTACAAAAGACTCTGGTCTGCCTGTTCCCCCATTAATCATCACACCCACAGGTTCCACCTTGCTAGGGTGTGAGGGGGGTCCACTTTTCCAGGATTTTTTAAATGCACAGTTTGCCTTCTATGTCAAGGTCTTCGTTTGCTCTCTGACCCCATCTTCTGCCTGTAGTACCACTCCCCACCAATGGAACTGGACATTTCAGCAAATAAGCAGATCCCTGCACCTGGGTGAAATGGCTTCCTTTTGGCCACCAATGGGGGAGCCACAGTGTGGCCATAATGAGCCTGCAGCTAGGGCAGTGAATGAAGTGCCTCCCAGAGGCCAAAAACAGGATAGCACTATTTCAAATGAAAACATAACAGTGCGGTTAATAACCAGACCCTATTACATTTATTTTGTAGTTATATTTGTATCCTCCCCTTTCACCATGGAGACCTGGGCAGCATTAATGTTCCTTTCCCTTTGTTCATATGCAGTATAAAAGCCAATGAGGCAGAGTAGGGGGGAGAAACTTATTGATTTATACACCATTTTTCTCCCCAGTGGGGACCCAAAGCAGTTTACCACATAATTCCATCCTCCCCCATTGTATTGTCACAACAACAACCCTGTGAGGTAGGTTAGGCTGAGAAAGAGAGAGAGTGATTGGCCCAAAGTCATCCAGTAAGCCTCCATAGGAGAATGGGGATTTGAACCCAAGTCTCCCAGATCCTAGCCTGGCATCCAACCACTACACCACGCAGGCTCAGATGACTTTGTGGTGGAGCAAGGATTTGAACCCAAGTATCCCCAGGTTTGGTACAACACTGTGTCTACTGCACGATACAGTGTATTAATTTGCAGGATCATCCCCCACAAGTTTTCTTCCTGTTCTCCCTCTCTCCATATACATTCCCAATCTCCTATTGCTCTCTAGCGTTTTCGGCCGTAGGCCCTCTCATCCTCTTGCTCAGTTCTTCCATTAGAGAGGAATGAAATGGGAAAATAAATTACTTTGCAGCTGCAAGCGCTTTCAAGTATTTAAAGGGCTTCACATCCAGATTGTAGTTCGCCACTCTCAATTGTATGCTAATGAAATCTATGCCAGTGGAGAAGTTTTATAATATCCTGTCTCTATAGTTGAATTTCTAAACACGTTCTCTAACTTTGCAGCTGACGTTTATATTAAATGAAGGACCACAAAAAGATGATCCCCTAAGCAGAAAGAGTGCTGCGCTGGGCACGTCAGTCCGATAGTATCCTTTTGGTCTTTCTGTTTCCAAGATATAAAATCTTCCTTTTGGTCTTTCTGCTTCCAAGATATAAAATCTTCCTTTTTGGTTCTTTCTGTTTCCAAACGATAAAATCTTAACATAGTACTGTCAGAAATGCTGTCAAATTTCAAGTGCTTTTGAAAAACATTATTTGCATGTCTTGTATTTAATAGTCAAGTGTGACCCAATCTGTGGATACTTAAATCTTTGGATTGGGCCCACACAGACTGAAAACAAATAGTTTGGTAAACTTGGGAGACTCCTCAGGTTTACAGAAAAATCTGAAAAGGTTTAAAAAATACATTGGGGGATGTTTAAATCCCCCTCCCAAAAAAACCCCAAAAGCATTGCCTGCACATGCGGTCCTACTTCCTTCTCTATCCGATGGTGATGGCCGGGTGGCAGGAAGCCATGGCGGGCTTGGCAGAAGAGGCCAGGAGCCACACAGGACTGGCTGGCAGTGTTGGCATCAGTTGGGCGGGCAAGAAGCCTCAGCAGACCCACTGACAGAGTCCAGGAGCCACACAGGGTTTGCTGGTGAGGGGGGAGAAGCCTTGGAAGCAGCCCCATAGCTAGGGATATTTTTAGGAGGGAGCCGGGGGGGGGGGGGGGGGACCCACGATTAGTGAAACTCCTTAGAAGCCAGCCTTCCCCTAAGGCAGCCCTGCACCCCCGCCAGACTCCAGGGCAAGTGTGTGTGGGGGTAATGCCGAGCAGCCGCAGCTTCCTCTCTTCCCTGGAGCACTGTATTCCTGCTCCAGTTGTGAAGCTAGGCAGGGAGGGGCCAGCCCAGGTGGGAGGGGCCCAGATGAAATACTAGGGAGCCGGGCCCTGTGGACCCCATGTTAGCTACGGGCCTGCTTGGAAGGCCCAGAGATGGGGGCCAGGGGTAGCTATGTTGGGCGGGGGGAGAAGGGGGAAGGGATCCCCCTGCAAGTGGGTCCCCACTTGTTTTATGTATTTCCTCCAAAGTGGACATTGATACAATGAGAAGGAAGGGGAGAGGGCTCAACTCCCAGCGCTGCCAAGCTTTTGAAAAGACAGGATTCAGAGGGTGGCTCAGCAAGACTCCAAGACCAGCAGAAATGCCCACCATTCGTTCCAACATGGCTACTGTCCTTGTTTTGCATACGGCACCTCCGGACTGGTTCACACAAGAATGATGTGGCAGAGACCTGAGGTGGTATTTGTTTAGATATTTGCATCCCACTTTTCTCCCCTATTGCCTTATAACATTGTTCTCCTCCTTCGTTATCTTCACAGAACAACAGCCCTGTGAGGTAGGTCATGCTGAGAGAAATTGTCTGGCCATAGGTCCCCCAGGGAGCTTCCATGGCAGAGTGGGGATCTGAATCTGAGTCTAGTCTGACCCTTTACCCACTACACCGTACCACTACAGAGACGAAGGATCACATTTTGGAGTGCTCCCGCTAAGTGAAGACTCCCTGCAATGAGAAAGCTAGCACAACAAGTAATGAAGAGTTTCTTTCTCCCTGTCACTTGGCTATTTGCCTGAAGTCATCAACAGAAAGGAGCGATCCAAGATGGAACCGCCACCTGCAGTCCAAAGTGCATT